TTGTGTAATGTGCTTTTTTATTTTACCATGCTTTACTTTGTTTTTATTAACTTCACTTTATCAAAGGATTATTTTATTAGACACTATCTGTTCCTGTTTCATTCTGTTTTAGACTACAAGGGTGGAACATAACTTTCTGATTAAGATCTACTCAAGGCTTTCTATTCCTGATTTCCTAATTTGCAGAAGTATTCTGTTCAAGATTTATGATTCTAAACTTTCTTTGCCAAGGATTTTAATGTGTTGAGATGATAGATTCAAGTTTTTATGATGTGGGGGACTGTATAATATATTTGTATAAAGGATGGAATTTGTTATAAACAGTGACAATAATGTATCTTCTGTGACAAAAGAATCTTAGACAATATACTGAACAGGTTTTAAAGTTCAAGGGAGTAAAAAGATGGAGGATTTTTGTTGCATTCCTTCCCTCCTGCGCAAAGTGCTTGTGGTATATTGGAGTGCTGCATGTGTACAAGCTCTTGTTCTTGTCTTTAATGTCTACCTATTTTCTGTTAGAAGAGAAACCAGAAGTCAAATAATAGCTTTGGCATGAAGTGGAAAAAATTGAGATTTAAGAAATATTGTTTTACTAGAGGTGATGTATTATAATACTCATTTGCATTATTTCACAATGCATTTATGATAGTATGCATGTTTTTATGTCTTGTGTGTGATTATCTTGTGTGGTATTGCATTTCATAGGGTGCTTGTACTAGTGCATGTCTTAACCTTCAGAATATTTTAGATATATTATTTTGAGCATGAGAAGTTCCAGTGTCATACCTTAACAAATAAAGTTGACAAATAATGTATTTTACTTGGAGTATATAGCTTCAGCAATAGTTACTGTTCACGTTCTTTTGAGCAGAGAACATTTTTGACATGGAAAATATCAGATATTAGAAATTTGCAGTAGATCAGTAGAAGCGAGTTCCCTGCTATATTCATCCTTTGCAGGGTTTCGTGCTAGATGTTTATAGATATTCAGATGTAGCCTGTGCTTATTTTGTATTTAATTTCTGTCTTAGATTCAGTAAAATTGTTTCTTCATAGTTGTCTTCCTCTTGCATTATATATATGGAGAAAGAGGACTTATCCAATTGATAGGTTTTCTTATACTAATGATATCACTGTAGATTTATATGTTGTTCATTTATATCACTGTTTGTTCATGATCTTGGTTTTCTAGGGCAAAAGGAGGCAGGAAAAGTATTGTGCTTTTATTTAGGTGTATAATGTTTCTATTATCATCCAAAAGAACAATCCTTTTATCATGCTTTGTACTGATTGAATGTTTCCTTTATTAATTATCAAGTAATTTGTAAGTTGCTATACAAATTTTGCATTAACTCCAGCCATTCTTGACCTGCCTGCCTCCCTCTAACTCATGTGGAAGATGAGACTGAATTTATGTGTTAAAAGTTCATGTTCAAATTTATGTGTTAAAAGTTCATGTTCAATGCAGAGGTCAGTATTAGCTCTTAAAGTTATGGTGTCTAATTTTGGTGTTTATTTTTCTAGCTTTGTGTAGAAACATGTACCTTCTTATATATTTATTATCTTAGCATATACTAGTCATAAAAGCTTATCTTTTTACTGCTAAAATTGTTAACTAACTCGATTATAAAGTATAGCACTTAAGCAAAGAGATTAAATGTATTAGTTCTTGATATTAGAGAGTTTTCTTTATCCTTATCTTGTCTATACATGCACTATATAAAAGTTATGAAAAATTTGCGGAGTTGATTTTCCAGTTTAGACTATATTTTCTTTTAAAGTGAGGCCTTTTACAAACTGTGCCATAGTAGGGTCAACTCTTGTTAGGAATATTTTGTTTTTGAGGATTGATCATTGTGTTCAGTAAGGAAAATTGTACTGTATGGGTTTGGTGAATCAACCATGGTACTGGCTATGGTACTCTATTTCATTTCATATATCCTCTGCAATTAGTGTTATCTTAAAATTATTGTAGATCTTCCAAATGTAAAATATGCATAAAATTCGAAAAATGTATGCTATTCAGAATCCTTCAGGAGCAACATCTGTAACAAGAAGTAATTTTGTGGTTTCTTTTAATTTACTTTTATTATTCAGTCTAAAAAAGTAGGAAGTATATATCAACTCTTCATGGCTGTATGCAACCTTGAATTTCTGAACTTTGTTTTTTTTGAACCAATTGATACTAGCAGTCTTCATTTTATTTTTATTAGAAAATTTCCCATGTCATTACCCATCTTGTTGCAAGTGGTTGCAAAAAATTATATTTAAATTGTTATAAAAGTTTTGCTTTCACTTGCGTATCATGGCTATATTATACTGTTTATACCTGGCTATTATACTAAAATATTGGTGGTTCTTAGTTTTATAATTAGACAAACTTATTATTAACAGTCTCTTTTTGTAAGACAATTTGCAAGTATCTGAAGCACTTGTATAATATTTAGGTACTGTCAGTAGGGAAAAATATAAGGACTGAAGAAAACGCACTGTAATTTCTCTTTAATCCTTTATATGAATGCAAAATACAATAATCACATTACAAATGGATGGCTTCAAGAGTTTTTTATTTTTTTTTTTTTAAACTATGGACACAAGTAACGGTGTCTGGTCCTTAGGTATAAACCAAATCTCTTTTGTGTGTGTCAACATTCAGTTACACTGCAGGAAGATACTTGCTGTTCAGGGGACCTTGAGGCACATCATAATTTCCCAGATTGAAATTCTCAAAATGTTCGTTACATACCTATGCAGAGAATGTGTTTAAAAGAACTCGAAAGGTCGACTCGCCTCCAGCATTACATTTCACTACAAAGAAGAACTTGTGTTTAAGAAGTCATCATCAAAGAGATCCATTTGAGAAAGCTTGACAACTCAAATGTTTTCATCATAGTGACATGAGTTCACAAGAATGGCCTTGGCTGGGTAAATTTATTTCCTATTTGGGCCACTTGATGCATAGTTTAGTTTGATCCCCTGAGGAGCAATATATGTTTATTAGAATTTCTAGATACCACTGGACATAAACTCTCTAGGAGGTAATAACTTCAAATACTAATGTATGCAGGCAATGGGACCAAGTACCTAGTTCCTATAAGAGTTAAGGCTCTTTCTCATACTTATGGAAAAGCTTGCTCCAAACTGCATAAGATACAACTGAAAACTGAACCAGACTGGTAAAAGGAGAATTGACAAAAAATATAACAACACACTGTTGACAAAGAGGGAATATTAATGATTTATATATATATATAATCCTACAGAAAATAAGGTTTTTTTTTTTTTTATTTACTTTAATGACACAAACACTCAAGAACGACTTGCCCCTTGAAAGGCAATCCACGTTCCGTTTGTAAAAATGGATGCAGATGGCTTCTGGTCAAGTATTCTGGCAAGTGACTTTTTGTTATTTTCCTTTAACTAAAAACATAACAAAACTGGGCTGCATGGAATGTCTACTTTACCTACAGAAGCAGGGATGACAGTAATTATAGTAATCATGACGAATAACAATATTCTCCTCAGAAAACATAAAAGTAGCCAAATCACACTTGCACATATTCCTTAGGTTATCCTAACCTAAGTAGTGTCAAATCAAAGCAGAACACAGGATGCAAACAATTTCCAAGCATAAATTCGACCAAAATTCTTAGTTTCACAGAGCCATTTCTCTTGACAAAATACTCTCTATGTCAAGGAGGATCAACGAGACACGAAAGTTAAGGGAGGGGGGCCCTAGTGTCCCCCAGTACGCATAGAGGGAGGGACTTGGACTTGTGGAGTTAACGGGGACGTCCTGGCCAGTGTCCTTATGTCTTTTTACTCCTTTAACTGTGACAAGGATACCTTTGTCACACCCCGATACTTCAAGCAGAATGGACATGTGCTTCATACAATCTGCACCTAATAAATTATTCTCTCATTTGAATAACAATGGTCTTAAATTGTGGGAGATGATGCATATCAAAAGGCGATATACTTCATACCAGTATCAACTAACAAAATAATAATAATAATTAGTAGTTACAAGTTTACAAGCTGATTAACCATAGCAGAAAATAGACTTACACATTATGTGGAAGAAACAGTTCCATCTGTGATTTCCTTAAAATCCTGACACAATTTATAGCAAAATTCTCTAATAAGAAAGATTCCTGTGTATAATTCATCGGGGTGTGTGTTTTTTTTGTACACAGACAATGGCTTCAATTATCAGGTACAGACTACAATCATACAGGGAAGTAGTTTAGATGTTAACTTAACTTGATCAATCTTCATTACATGTTTGTCATCAAAGTTGTCATCAACCTTCAGTTGATGGTTATGCTTATTCATCTAAAAATTTTAAAACCTTTTCGAGTAATTTTACAATAAACACCCCCCAAAAAATCAATTTTTTTTTCCTCTTCAAAAAGAGACAAATGCTGAACATGGCAAACGACAAACAAAATTGTCAAGTAGTTGTATGTATCGGGGCGGATTTGGGCGGTGGGGTGGGGGGGGACCTTCCTCTGAAAAATTAAATGGGCTAAGTAAACATCCGAAGCACATCCCGCCGAGTTAACAGAGCTAAAGCAAAAGGCAAAATTAGCCTCTATGTTAAGAGTAGAACACCAAACAGTTAATCTCAGCTCGGGAGATAAGCAGGAGACGGGGCTATATATAACCTTTGTGAAAAAAGCTTATACAAGAAGAGAAGAGAGAGGACTTGCTAGTGGCTGTGAAATAGAGGAAGGGGGGAAAGCTCACCATTTCTAGAAAAGAGTTATATCTTTTGGAGAGGTCTCTTAGGAGTCAAGGGTGAGGTTGTCCTTGAAGCTGAGCAGGACCTTCAGGCTTAAGGAAACAACTCAGGTGAAATCATTAGTAGTAGGAGGAGGTGGAGGACTTAGAGAAGGATGACAACATTTATTAGTAATTCATATGTAGAATAACATGAAACAAATATTATGACGATATAAATTGTACAAAAATACATCAGTGGTTACTTTGGAACTAGT